AAAATTTGAATTGATTGATGGTAGTAGTTAGTGTTAGATGGAACTGGGAACCCAACCTCTCTGACTCATCTCGAATAACATTAAAATCCCCCATCAACACACATTCTCCATCAAAAGATACGAACATCTGATGAAGCTACAACCAAAGCTACCTTTTTCGACTCAACAGCTTGAGGAGCATATATCAAAAACAACCAAAAGTGAAGACCCGAATTAACCAAACACTCTTAACTGCAATATAATTATCGAAAATAATCTCCCATGTAATGGAAATATGAGTAAAATACAAATTCCCCCAAAAAGAACAAACCGCCATCAAATATATATTTTCGAACTTTGTTTCTTGAATGGCTAAAAAATTTACCTTATATTTAGAACATAAGGATCTAACCCACCCTCGCTTGTCACAATATCCTGCTCCTTGGAAATAAATAGAAAGACAATTCATGGAAATACTTTTCTACCCTTATGACCTTCAACATGCTCCTTTACTCGATCAAAACAACCATCCATATTATATCCTATAGATCTCCTGATGTCCAAAGTTTTTTGTATTTCATCCAAGAAAGAAAAACGATTGAAAGAACCATGTGAAAAACCACCTTCACCCGCTAAATTAGAAAACCCTGAGGGGGGTGTATCAAGTTATATTCTGAAGCATCAATACCAGACATTCGTTCATTTCCTCCAAACAAACCAACAGGTGCACTACCACTTCAATACTTAGCATTGTGAACAACCATATGCGAAGCGGCTATTTTGAATGAATAGGAGAATCGTGCAGCTTTTCTATAACTTTATAACTCTCGATAGCATCTGCTACTATTGGCAGCCGATCACCTGTCTCGGGAGGTGGAGTAACGATGGAAGATTCAAACCCGTGATATGTAACGCCTGTGTTTCTGGGCTTGTCATTAATAGCAATGTGTGACATCCCCAAAATCCCGGCCAGAAAAGACCGATTTTCACTTATGCTTTTAAATATTTTCAGAGTAAATCCTTTTGATTTGAAAGAGTTGCGGAATTTGTTCCCAAAAACAAAACATGATAAAACAATGTTTACCAAAGCATTTCATAAAAGAAATGTATTTTCATTATAATCAAAACTCGGGGTGTCATGTTCCGATACAGACCAATAAGCATAAACGAATACATTACAAGTCATATAACAAATATAAACATATGCAGACTTGTAAACAAAACAACTTGATGGTTCGTCCATCTCATGCCCTTCCGCCACTTTCTGTAATACAAATAAAACTGAGTGGGTCAGGCTTGGGAGCCTGGTGAGCATATAGGGTTTTCAACCCACAATAAATAATTAAATTAATTATTATCAACCAACAATAACCCAGTTACCCATTCCCATTATTCTCACTTTATGTCCCTAAAATAACTAACACAAGGGACCTAATCTAAGAATATTTTCATCGGGGTGACAACACATGTTGCGGGGTTTCCTCAGCAATATAAGTCAAATAAGGCAACCATGAGGGGGATGGAATACAGCGAATGAACACCCAAGTTCATTAACACCTACAGGTTATGAGCCTGCTAGCGTTCCACTGGACTATCTAGAAAAGTCTGTGGTCGTCATCTAAATTCCGCTAGATGACTGGATCAAACAACAACGAGGCCTCTCATCTGTTTATTACACACCAACTATCTACCCATGTTCTACCCAACATACTAGTAGATAAAAACATACATTTTTATACATATTTTCAAAACTTGTATAGCATGTTTGATCAATACATTTTCCATATAACAGATGAGGCACACACACATAACACGTATTTCATATAGAAATAATCAGATCTGTAAGATAGAAGAAAGTGAATATACATTCACACACATAACAACAAAATATACACATAACATGTATCTCGTATAAAATACTTCATAGTTATACGTTAGGAGAAAGTAACAACGCATTCACACGTATAAACGACAATAAACTTAATACACTCAAACCATACTTGTATTATTATTGCGTTTATGAAAGGTAGTATACACTCACTTGATCAGAAGATGATCGGACAGCACTACGGCTTGCAGAAGTCGTAATCCTCAGCAGATCTGGAAGATCTCTACGAAAATCGAACTTCTTGCGGGCAGAGCTTCGGCTCGGAAACCGCACTTCTCGGGATCTTTGGGATCTCGGGACTCGGGAATATTACCAGGGCTTCGGGATGGCTTCAGGGGTAAAAACGCAGAGCTTCGGCACAAAAACGAGAGGAAATTAGCAATTAAACCCAGACCCCTCGCATCCTATCTATAGGAGGCTGGAAGCCCGAGTTACGCGGGGCGTACAGCAGTACGCAGCGCGTACTGCTTCCGAAATGCATCATCACATGCGTCATCCAAAGTGTCGACACTTTGGCTGTACGCGGCGCGTACCTCGGATCAGATCTGTGACTCCCCCTTCGGATAATGCCAGATTTTTGA